TTATACCGTCTCTTGCTTCTTCTTTTTCTTCTCCTCCTTTTTCTTCTCTTTTTTTTCTATACTTTTTTTCCTTCCCTTCTTCTCTGTCTATTTTTATCTACTTACTCACGGCTTCACCGGCCTATTCTAATCCTGCTAATGCCGCATTAATCGCTCCTTTTTGCCAGAAGAGAAAGCTCTCTTGTCTCTTTTACTACTGCTGCTGCCTTTTATACTGCTTGCTTATTCGGCTTCTACTTCTTGACTCATCGAGGTACGCTATCCATTTCTTTGGTCTCTGGTTCCTTTCTCCACTCTTAAACTCCTGACGGCCGCCCAAGCCTTTCTCCTTCCCTTCACTTTCGGTCCCCTTCGCCACAACCTTTCGCCACTCGTTGCAGATTTCACCCCCGGAGTCATAAACCCATCACCAAAGTCCTTGCTCTGGATCTCGTCTCCAGCATGTCCTTAATATAGCTCCCTCTCTTCTCCTCTCCTCTCCTCTCTCCTCCCCTTCTTCTACCCTGTCCTCTTCTCCCTTACTCACGTTTCCTATTACTCACATTTACTCAGCCTCCCTCTTCCTCTTCCGTCATCGCCTGCTGTCATCGGTCGGTCGATTCACGATAACCGCCGCCCGAGTCGGTGCCGGTGCTGCCTAATCGACCACGCCATCCTCACTGCCCCCAGGTAACGATGTTCCTGGCCCCAACGACGCCAACCCCGAGCCCGATCACCTGCCCTGAACATTCCACTACTACGAGCATTACTACTATTATTACGATTACTGCCATGATGACTGCTGCCTCCGTCTAAGTGCCGGGCCGCCGTTTGCCCCCGTTCAAAGAAGACTCATCTATTTGGCACGCCACCTAGCTGCTGCTATATAGCTCTTTGACCGCGTTGTACCTGCATAAGACTGGAACTCCCTAGCTCTCTTCATCATCATCGTCATCGTCCTTCTCGCCTCGTTGGAATCCTGGTGCAGTGATCGGGACTCATCTACCTTAACTATACCTTACCTACTTTACCTCTGCCTACTTCTATCAAACTGCCGCCTGCCATCTAAGTGACTCACTAAGTCACTCATACCATTCCATACCGAACATTACACCCCATACTTCTATATAACTAGATCCACGGTCGTCAACCGTCAGTCTGGCTGTGCATCTGGTTTGAATAAAAGGCTTCCCCGTCGCCTCCGGATTTTGTCACCACAAAGACGGGCCCGTCTAACGCTGCCCCTTCTACACGGTTATCGCTCATCGGTCTACTCTAACAACAACAACACGGCAACACATACCTACCTACAAGCTCCTACTACCATAAACTAGAGAATGTCGGCGTTTGTAGATATCTTGGGTTTCAATCCTGTGAATCCAGGCCTCTCCAAGCCGGTTCACCAGACTTGTCCCTACGCTGCCTCGCTCGCCGCTTCCGCTCCCCCTTCCGCCTCATCAATTTTTTCGCTTGATGCTGTCTCCTCCCAACCTTCCATCGTCTCTTCTTCGACTACCGCAGATGTTACCTGGAAAAATGAGGGGAACGCTGATGCGCAGCACAAGAAGGCGGCTATAAAGTCTTGCTTTGGAAAGGGTGCTGAGACGAGACACCACCCGAGACGGACTCTTGCTACCCGTCCTCCTCCTACCTTGATTCGCCAGTGTGAGAGGAAAACCAACTTCGTCGATAGCCTTGTCGGTACGTTACACTTTTACCGTTCCTCATGCTACCTTACCCATCTAACGTCCTGTAGACTCTGCATCGCAGATAGTTGAGATTATATGGCCTCTATCTGTGGCTGCGGCGCCGAGAAGCGTCGAGTCGACTCTCGGGTGCAAGGGCGTCCTGCCGCTAAGGACGTTCATCCAGGAAACTCTCCGCAGGTCCCGAACCAGCTACTCGACTCTGCAGGTTGCCCTATACTATCTGATCCTCATCAAGCCGCATGTGCCCTCCATCGACTTCACCATGGAACAGCCAAAACTGCAGCAGTCTCAGTCCCGCGCCATGCAATGTGGCCGGCGCATGTTCCTGTCTGCTCTCATCCTTGCTTCAAAGTACTTGCAAGACAGAAACTACTCCGCCCGTGCCTGGAGCAAGATCTCCGGCCTTAACACCGCCGAGATCAACCAAAACGAACTCATGTTTCTCCAGGCTGTTGACTGGCGTCTGCACATATCGGATGCCGTCTTCCAGCGCTGGAATGATATCGTTCTAAAGTACACACCAAACGCCAGCGGCCTCCCCAGTGCTGATGGGATGTGCTGGCGAACGGTCATCCCTATTCTCACACCGGAACTCGACACACTCGACTCTCGAGCAGAGGGCCCGTGGTCATTGTCGACCGTCGGTTCCCCTGCCGATTCTTCCTCCGCTTCTTCTGCTTCCTCTTCATCCTCTTCACCTTCATCTACGTCCACCGCTCCGAGCAGTCCCACTAGCTGCGACAGCCCTTCGTCGGGACTTCCATTTGCTGAGATGCCCCGAAGACCGTCGGCAGCCGACTTGTCGGGTGTTACTCTTCCACCACTTCCAAGGCTGGGACTTCTTCCTACTCCGCAACTCACTCCGCAAGTCGGTATGACCGCACCTGCTCCTGCTGCGAGCATCAGTGCGTGTCGTCCGTCCATCTGCTCTGCTCTCTCGCAGGCGCAGACGGCCTTTGTACAACGGACCACCTTGGACCAACGTCCCACGCAACCCTTGTATATTAGCAAAAAAACTTCCTTTGACTGTTCATCATCAGGATCGTTCCAGGGACGCCGCTCGTCTCTGGCTCGTTCCTCGTCATTCACTTCGTCGCCCGAGTCCATGGCCTCCGACGCACCATCCTTATCGTTTTCTTCTCAGTCTTCGCGCTCTTCTCGATCTTCGTCAATTTCTTCTGTCACTTCCATGAACTGCGCAACCAGACCAACCCGACGTAACACCCCCACATCACAACCAACCAACTGTTTGAAAGAAAACAGAAAGCCCCTCGCTATTGCAACTCCGATCGACGAGCATGAGCCAAGCTATATCAGCAACTACCCTTCCCCACCTCTCCGCACTAGCAGCGCCTTCAGCACTGCTTCTAGCACTGTTCCAGACCTCTCAAATTTCTCCATCAATACTCCATCTGATCCCGACACCGCTGCCATCCAGGGCCTGTACGAATTAGCAACCGGCCTTGCCCTGCCGATGGACTCCTCTCTAAGCAAGGCAAGCCGACACTGTCGAAAACGCACTCGCGCCCCATCCACCTCCGAAGGGACCAACCTGCAGCAGAAAGTGCGCCATCTCATGGCCCTTGATGCGCGGGACCTCGAGGATGAAGGCACTTCTCTGACTGTTTTGAGCGACAGTCAGGTTGCCGACTCGTTCTTGGTCAACAAGGTTGCTGGTATGGGTGACAGCAGGGCGAGTTCGAAGCGGACTTGTTCTGGCAAGGAGAACGTTAGGACTTTATGGGGTATTTAATTCCACCTTTTTATCTTCCTGGGACCAGAAATCAACTTATCAAAACAAAAACATATACCTCTAAGCGAAAGGAACATGGGAAAAATTCACCTTTTTCTGCCCTTCTCCCTTTCTTCTCTGCAATGCATGACGTGTGCGGCGTTATCTTCATTTCTACCCTCTGCCTTCGCCAAAAGATATACCTGATAGACCGGCCTGTCTTGCTTGCTTGCTTGCAACTTTCCTTTATTTTGCTGCTCTTGGGTTCGCGGACTGGCTGGTTTGGTTGGCTTTATCGGTTCCCGGTTCCGGAGTGATGAGGAGTAGGATTCATCCATCGCATACACCAATCATGTTGCATTGCATACGTCCTTTGACTTGACTTTGACGCTTGACACTGACACTGACACCGACACCGACACCCTTATTTACTATTTATTTGACTGCGTGCCATCTACCACTGTATATACAATATCTTATACCTCCATCTACCTAACTACCTAACTTAGCTGCCTTATGATATTATTATCTGTATTCCTGAATAAGGCCCAATACAGATTTTAACATATTGGATGACCATCTTGTTCTCTCAGATGTAGACTCTTATTTTTTATCTATCCATTAACATAGACATGACGCATAAGAAATACGAAAGTAATGTAGAAGCCTACTGCTCCGTCCATCCATCCTCCAGCTTTTCAGCATCGACCAGCCATCCAAACTTGTCCTCAATCTCGCCCAGCTGAATCCCCTGAAGTGTCTTAATCAACCCATTAAACACCTCTCCTCCCTCACCGGCAGCACCGGCATCATACTCAAACTTGTCACCCTTGGACTTCATCGTGATACTTCGGATCGGCACCAGTGCCGCAGCCGTTCCAGCAGCCATGACTTCATCAAACGAGCCCAGCTCATCATACTTGACAGGTCTCTCTCGACCTTGTACCCCAACATGTGCTCTCCAATCTCCTTGACCGACGCCGCAGTGACACTATCAATCACATTCTTACTATCAGGAAACACAAGAGTGACCTGTCCATCACGCTTTTTCACCCCGATAAAAGCCGAGGTCGAAAACTCGTCGATTTCAGACCTCGTCTTGCTATCCAGATGAAGCGTGATGCCGTACCCTTGACCTCTAGCTTTGTCCGAATGGCGCAGCACAGGTGCATAATTCCCTCCGAGCTTTGCACTACCTGTTCCCTCGGGGGCAGATCTATCAAAGTCCTCGAGCACCAGGGCCTCAACTGCATGCACACCATGGTACACGCCCGTAGGCATCACGAAGACTACAAAGGTATACTCGTCCGGCGGCGTAAGGCCTAGCTGCGCCGAACTGCCCAGCAGCAACGGGCGGATATACATCGCCGCACGAGTCTCGTTGGGTGGGACAAACTCTGCATTTGCACTCACGGCTCGAACGATGCAGTTGACGAAATGCTCCTTGGGAACGGGGGGTATGGAGACGAACTGTGCTGAATGATGCAGGCGCGCTGCGTTCCGGTCTGGTCGGAAGATGACGATGCGGCCGTTTGGATGGGATGCTGAGGGAGGGTGGCGGAATGCTTTCATGCCTTCGTATGCTTGCTGGCCGTAGTTGAGGGCCGGTGCCATGCCGTGAAGCTGTAGGAAGGGCGACTTGACGAAACGGGGGGCGGACCATTGGGCGTCGCCGGAGTGAGAGAAGTGGGATTCAACATGGCCGTTGACCTCTCGGACTTTGAAGCCGATGTTTGTCCAGTCTAGAGTAAAGCGGCCGGTCAGTGAGATGTCTCATCTACATAGATAGGAGAGCAAGTGGTTGAGTCATTGGTAGTTTACCGATAGCAGGTGTTGGTGGAGGAGGAAAGTTGGCGGCCATTGCGGTGGTCAGACTGATACGCTGCAGACAGGTCGATAGGAGATGGACGGATACACAGTCGATGAAGAGCGGCCGTAAAGAGGACGTCGACGGTCTGGTCTTTATATGTTGGTGCCGAACCGGGCAGCAAGTTCAGCTGGCCGAGGGAGCGAGGTTCAACCAAACCGCAGGCCCAGCCTATGACATGGAGTTTTACTTGCTTTTTCCGCAGTGCGAACTTCGGCCTGACACGTAGCTAGGCGATACCGGCAGTCGGCCATCGTGAGAGCGAGAGGGCGCGGGCAGTCTGAAGCCATGAAGCTGCAGGAGTAACTATGCTCGCTGAAGAAACAAATTGGCGTGTGGAGAAGTTGATAAACTCCCTGCTTATCCCTGTCCCTGTCCCTGTCTCCGGTTAAGCGGAGGAGAGATCTGGCCTTGTGTATATACAGATCAGGCATAGTGTACGAAGATGCATCCTGCAGGCTGGTAGGAGTATATAAAAAGAGGTAATCAAATTCGTGTCTTTGTTCGTTTCTCGTTGAGATATCAAATCCATAACTACAGTGAGAACCAGATCCAATCAATTCATTCAACTCGCTTCATACAGTATCAGCTGCCATGCCTTTACCCCCCACTGAACCACTTCTAAGCTCCCCTAGAATTGCCGGTAAATCGCTTATACCTGCTTGACACCGTCGTGCTCGGCAGGCTGCTCGCGAATGCTGTCCAGATGGTACAGTTCTGGACACACAGCATGCTTGCGCTGGAATATGTACCGCTTGATCCACCACGGCAAGACCTTGGTGAGCTGGTACTTCGCATGAGTCCGTGTGGGAACGCCAAAGACATAGTCTAGTTCCTCGAGTGTGCGCTGCTTGGTCTCGTATAGGAATAGGAAGATCATGACTAGGGCAATGACGTTTAGCCCGGCATAGAATCCGAATGCTCCGGGGGTGGTCAGGGCAAGGTCCAGACGACGGAAGGTGAGTGCCAGGACGGCGGCCCAGAAGTTATTCGTGGCAACAGCCCAGGCCATGCCAACTTCTCTGTGGGAGAGAGGGAAGACCTCAGCCGAATACGTAAAGGGGACCGGTCCTTCTCCAGGCGAGTAAAAGGCGCCAAAGAGGTATATGAATGTGGCGATAAGGCCGAGATGTGCAGGGCTGCTTTCGGGTATATAAAAGGACATGCCTGCTGCAAGCAAGGTCCAGAACATATTGGGGAAAGTGAAGAGAAGAAGACCACGACGCCCAAAGGTATCGATAGTCCAGACGGCCGGCCAGGCAAAGACAAAGTTGACGAGACCGAAGCCGAAGGAGGCCAGCAGAGCAGTGATGTTGTTGGCACCAGCTCGCTCGAAGATAGTAGACGAATAGAAGGCAATGATGTTGACTGCATGAATATGTTAGCATATCCAAATCAAAACTACCTGTTAATTAAAAATAGGGACAAACTTACTTCCGCACATCTGCTGGGCAATCATGACAACTCCAGAGGCCTGAGTGGCACGACGAACACGGGGGATAGTGAAAAGCTCAATGAATCGGGTGAAGAAGTTGTCCGTCTTGATCAGACCGGTCTCCACCAGCAAGGCACGCTCATGCTCAAGCTGGGCATGAATAAAGTAGACATCTCGAGCAGCTTGTAGAGGAGTGTTTCTCAACCTCAGCAATGATCGGTATGCCTTGGCAACCTTGCCCTTCTTCAACAGCCAGCGGGGAGATTCAGCGCAGAAGTAGATGCCAATCACCAGTGGGACAGCCGGGATGAAGGCGGAGCCTAGCTGCAGTCTCCAGGCGATTCTTCCAGTATTGACGACAGCCAAATTAGCGATAGTGCCGAGGAAGATGCCACACGCGGTCCAGACCTGCCAGGACATGACCAGACCTCCTCGCACGTTGGCAGGGGTATTTTCGGCGGAGAATACGGGTACGGTAACTTCCTTTAGACCCATGCCTATTCCGAGAAGGATACGGCAGGCAACGAGCTGACCCCAGTTCTGAGTAAGAGCGGATCCGATAGGTGCGAGCAAGGAAAAGACGGCCGCTATGAAGATAGTTCCTCGGCGACCGATCAAATCGTTAATAGGGTCAGATAGCCAGCCAGCACTAATTGTTACATATTAGCAAAGGACGTTGATTATACAAACACTGAAAAGGGTTTAATGAACTTACAAAAGAGCAATGGAGATATAGGGGATGGAGTTGACGAAACCAACGATCCATGCATTCCTCTCACAGATCGCATCAGTAGGGCAGTGGGCTGGATTGTCAGGAATACCAAACTCGATAGGAAACGAAAGATTTGCTCCATTTGATCCTGTTCACCATGTTAGCCGCATAACTACTTGAATCATTATCGAGAGAAACCAGCGAAGAGCACTGACCTGTCTGATCCCATCCCTGGATGGCGGCAGCAATGGAGTTGAGGAAGATCGTATAGTACAGGCCCCAGGGGAGTTTCCAGCGATGCGTTACCTCTTCGCGCAGACAGATACGGTCATCTTCGTCCAGCTCAGGCAAGGACTCAAAGTCCCTTGGGTTCTGCGCGACTAGAGCGCCCTTTTCGAGCAAGGGGATGATATCCTGCAGGCCGTGCTGGTGGGCAAAGTTGCGTACATCCTCGAGCAGCTGGTCCTTGGGCACTTCCGTGAGAGGGTTCTTGATCCTATAGCCACACTTAGTTAGCCTGCCACCAAGAAGAGGGAGAAGATCAGGCCAACGCACTCTCCGGTGACATTGTCCGTGAACTGTTTACTGTCTTTGGCAGTGTTGAAGAGAGAACCCCGTCTCTCAGCCCTGGACAACTGGGTTAGCACTATTATCGCAAAAGCCGAAGCTAAGGACCCGGGCAGGGGAGCAGCTTGGAGGTGCGTATAGCACTCACCCTCCTATTTTATCGTCAGCCATGCTGAGCAGCTATTCAAGTCACCTCCAGGCAGTTCTCCGCACACTTGAAGACACAGGACAGATGGAGTGGAAGAGGGGAGTAAGAGCTGCCGCGGGACCCCAGGTATAAAGGTGAAGCAGAGTGGCACAGGCAAGCTAGGCTGGGCTGGGGATGCAGGATCCCCCCGGCCCTATATAAATACATCTTCGTGTCGCCTGTCAACCCACGGTTTGGCGCTGCATGGTGAGGGCTTATAAGCATTCGCCCAAAGCGGAAGTGCCTTAAGTACCGGGTACTTCGCTGCACCGGCAGCGTCTGCGGGCACCCGGCGGTATCAGGTACAAGAGGGATGACTCTCGCAGCCTTGGCTAGGCCCCTTTGATGCGCCGGCGTGGGCGTGAAAGGACGGAAAGTTGCTTTAGTTGCCTTAGTGGCTTGTTGGTCTCGTCTTGGTCTTTTCTCGTCCTCTTGTCCAGTCTGGGTCTGGCGGGCTAGTTATCCTTCGTGGGACGGTCATGCTCTCGTCGCTCGAGCTTCCCTGCAGGGCAAGGGGGCAGGGTCAGGGATCAGCTCTGGCATGGTTCGTGTGGACGGGCGAAGCGAGGGTGGGAATGCATGCAGGATGCTGGCTCGAGACTTGAGGCCGTCGTCGAGCTGAAGCTGGCGATGGTTGATCGCGAAGTCGTTGATGTTGAGGATGTCGAAGCTGGGGGAGGGTACGCAGTTTACATGCTCGGTACTGTTACATGACGGTACATTGTTACTCCAAGTTACAGCACCAGATTCTTTGTTACTCAAACGAGGCGTGTACGTCATTTACAAATTTACCGTGGTAATACCGTTACATATTCCACAGAAGTACTTCTCCTTCTTCTCTTCCTCTCCCCCTGCTCACAAGGCATATATGGAATTCTCCTTTGACATCACAGCACAGCCGACGGCCGAAGTTCTACCGACTATAAGACATCAAAATACCTCATTTCTCGAACATTCGCCGTTAAGGAAATGTCACACGCGCACCATATCTCAGATTAATACCTCAAATAAAGGGCATCTCTACCAACAATGACTAGTACCATTGTTTAAACTCATTCTACGCTTCTTCTAAAGCCCACAGAGCTGGTACGTTCCTTTGTTCCTTGCATTCATCGACACGTTTCATGCCCCGAGTGTTGAATATTAGCTGCCAATAGTCTCATTATTAGCCCGGCTGCAATCAGGTATAACTAGCGACAGGAAGCTGGTCTTGTTCGTTCGCTTGCTTGATGTTATGTGCCTGGTTTCCCCAGCCAGTCCGTTGCAATAAACAATCAGGGGTAACTAGCTCGGCGTGGAGAAACGGGGTAGTGTGCTGCGTGGAGCTGCGGGGAGGATATCCATAACTCGCGAGCAGCTGGGCAGGCCAATTAACAGGTTGCTGATACTGGAAAATTGCCATTTATATCGCGCATGATGGCGTGACGGGAGACTGGCTGCTTCACTGCCCCATGATATATCATTTTAGGCGTTCTCTGTATAGAAGAGAGTTCGCATTATAGCAACTATGGAGATATTCGTCCTCGTTAACTAGTGCATCGTTTAAAAATGATAACTGACGAAGTAAGCTTACATTAGTAGTCAGTCCCACAGCACATTTGGGAATCCTTGTCTCAAATCAAAAAGGGGAAGAGGAAGAGGGAGAAGAAAAGGATAGGAAAAATCTTTCTGAGAAGTCACGTCGTCCTTCGAGTCGTGCTGCCAATGTCATTTTGGGCAACACTCAACCCGCATGAGTTGCAATCACTGGATTCCCGGACAGAGTCATGCCTAGGTGCTAGGTGGGTAAACACAGGCTGGGTATATAAAAAATCACATTTACCGTGGATAGACGTGGAAGAGTAGAGGGTATCGTTTTCAGATAAGTATATATTGTTGATATTTGGACAGAGAAGCCTTAGGGCTTTGTCTCGCATGCTTCCCTTGGGAACAGAGCCAGGGGAATATGGTGTTAAGGACGCCTGGGTAGCTGTATATACACTATCCACGAGCAGCATCCACGAGCAGGGAAACCAGACCAAGGATAGGGTATAGCGTGAAGTCCAGGTGATTTTCTAGAGAGAACCTAGACAATGGGGGGCTTTCCGTCTGCGTCCATCGTCTCGTTGCTTTGGCAGTAAATACTCAGTCTGACTTTGGGTATCAAACGTTGTACCAAGATAGCGTCAACAACATATCAATGCTCGCTGCATTGATGTGTTTGTCTTTCCGATCCAACTTCCTCTGCTTGATGTCACGTTGAGCTTCCACCAATTGTGGAGTCAGCCGAGGCCCAACGTCCAGCGAAGGGAAAGCACTCTTTCTTGCATTCTCACATCTCGCCAGGTAATCAAATAGGCCGAAAATTGAAAGACAACCCTGGACTTATGCTTGAGCTTTACATATAACGCTACCATCTAACTAACTAGTTACTGCAGAAAGGAAATTTAACCTTGGGGTCTATCGGCTAGGCGGTAGATTTGGTCATAGCATCATAATCTAAAATGATATATATACCCCCTTAATAAAATACTTGATATATGCTATTATCATACCATTATTCGCTAAACTATTCTCCTTTAGCTGCTGATAGCCGCTATTAGGGACAGTTATACCCTCAATGGAGTTCCCCTTAATGTATTATCTTAAACGGAGTACTGGTAAATGCAACGAAAGGGAATACTACTCCAAGAAGAAACCGTCCGTGGAATATTAGATAGTATTAGTAACAAAATCACCAATGTTCACTTAGAGGACTTGTCTCTGGGTGTATTTTCTGGCGCTCAATGTTTTGATAGGACAGGCATTCCCAAAGGGAGATAAGCCCTAGCGCGTCTCTCCGCGCCTCAGCTTTCCTTTCTCTTTTCCTCTCTCTTTCTTCTTCTTCTTCTTTCCTTCTTTCTCTCCTTGTCCACAATCGAACTATTTTTTTGCGTACGTATGCTCTGATATGTCTCCAAACGCCGGAACAGGCCTTATTTTAATATGTCATACCTAGCTTTACTATCCTTGTGGAGACTCAAGCAATGACCAGGGTAAGTTCCCCCCTTAAAGGTATAGTGCTTGGATCAGGATAACTGATGATTGACCAACCTTCGCCCAGTCTGCAAATCGGGGAAGGGACTCACACCCACAATGCTGCTGCCGGTCTCATGGACAGCCGACGGGGGTTGCGAGGGGACGAGGGGGAGCGAGAGGCCGTGGGGGCCGGAATAGGCCAATGAAGAAGGAAGATAAAGAGGAGAAAGAGAAAGACAGAGGGGAGGAGAAAGGGGAGGAAGAGAAGCTGGAGACTACGAGGCAGATGCTCCGTAGCCTTTCCATGGATGCGCAAGCGGCGGAGCTGATGCGCCTCCGAGAGGCAGCAGCTGTCGAAAGGAAGCAACTCCTCTGGAAAGAAGAGAGGATTTTGATCCTTGAGGGGGCTATTGCTACAAAACTCCGTCAAGAAGGCCCAGCAGAGTCTGCCGGTGACCCTGCTTCTGCCGCTGCCGCTACTCAGCCAACTCTTGCCATGGAGGTGGAGGAGATCCCTGAGGCTTCAGCTGAAGACTGGGTGATGGAAGGGACCTGAATGTACGCATATTTACCTGCACGGTGGTTTTAGTATGACTAACTGCAGCCCAAATGTAGGCCTGCGACATCCTCGTCGACATCTGTGCAGTAATATTGGTATAGATCTCGACGGACCCCCTGAGTGTTTCTCTTCGGTTGTTTTTTTGTTTTAGCGCGTCTCATCCGAGCAGCCGGCGCTTAGATCACGTGACTGTTTCCTCGGCAACGGCGGCCTGTTGACGCTTAGCCGCTTTCGGAAACAAGCTATCTTTTTTTGCTTTCGTCGCCGGCTTTAAAGATAAGATCGAGACTAAACGCGACATCGTCTGCAGCTGCGACATCACGGCGCTTCGGGCCTCTCCTGGAAGAAACAAATACATGGGAAGAGACTGACGGCGGTCAGGAAGAAACACCAATCGAGCGCCCTTCCCAGTGTCTACGCGCTCCATGATGGAAGCTCTCCTCGCTCACTCCTTCGACTATCTCTCCTCCTACGACCAGGGAAAGATCCGCAAGGGTCTCAGACAGGTCGAGGGACTTCTGGCACAGATATGCCTCTCGAGATCAAAGCTGACGGCTGCCGAGAAGAGACGGTCCATGATACCCCTGGATTCAGCTCCGTCGCCGCCAAAGTCAACAAGCGAGCTGAGTGACGATCCAGCCTTTCGAGAGTTCTACAAGCTTCAAGATGGCTTTCAATGGAATGGTGTGTCGATCCTGCGTCTTCCCTTTGTTAGTATTATCGCGTAAGCTAACCGGTGAAACCTCAGTTGCCCTGCGCCTAATATCATGCCTTGAACACCTGCTTGGTCGCGGAAGCAATGGCACAAATGACCTCCTCATCGTGTCTGCGCTCGACCTTATCCAGGGAATCTTGCTCCTCCACCCGCCTTCCCGTGCTCTGTTCGCCCGAGAGATATATATGAACATTTTGCTCGACCTCCTTGAGCCAGCGAACTGTCCTGCCATCCAGTCTGCCACTCTGCTGACTCTGGTTACAGCCTTGCTCGACACACCTACCAACACCCGCACATTCGAGGAGCTTGACGGCCTTCTCACGATAACATCCCTATTCAAGTTGCGATCCACGTCTCGAGAAGTGAAGCTGAAACTTGTTGAGTTCCTATACTTCTATCTCATGCCTGAAACGCCGCAGCTACCAGTTATGAATGCTAGCGCGCCTAACACAGCTGCTGGTCTTCAGCGCAGCCCAAGCAAACATGGCGGCCCGACGTCGCGCAGTGTGGATGCTCCTGGACGCAGGCGATCTGCAGCGAGTGCAGACACAAAAACGACTGAAGAGAAACAGAATCTTCTTGGCAGGTATCTGAGTAACGTCGAAGACTTGGTCGAGGACCTCAAGGAGACAGCGCCATTTGGCAGTGCTGTCTTTTAATTGTTTTGTATATATTCTTGCTCTGCCCCTTGTTTGTTTGCTTTGGACTCTCGCAATTTGCATATTTCAGGCTTTTGTTGTTTTTCTTGCCTCTAATCTTCGCGCGGTGTTAAGGGGTGAATTGGTCTCTTTTTTTACATTTCGTTATCTTCTCCAACATAATGACAAAAATCCCCTATTTTCGATGCGCTGTAGATATATGGACATAAATTGGGCAATAATGAATCGACAGGAGCTTGTGTGTTGCCACCAGCAAAAACCTGGCCGAAAATGCACCACTACAGGGTGCACGCTCGGAGTCCCAAAGTGGGAAGTCATTCATGAGTCAAAGACTCGTATTTCTTGCAACACCAATACCTTCACCAATTTTATTGTTCATAAAAGAGGAGAAAAATCGCCGGTGTAGAGGCCATTGAGATTCAACGGGAGCAAACAAACAGAGGCAGGAGAGCCCGGGTACAATCTTACAATCTAGATACCTACTACCAACATGGCACAGAATGAAACTACAACAGCACCCGAGAGGGAGGTCAAATACATCAACACGATTGATGCGTACAACCAATGGGCAGAGGTATGCATAGTAAACGCATGATGACGATGGTTTTTATACCAATCCGCTGACTCTTCATAGATATATGATACGGACGGGAACTTCCTCCAGGCACTGGACACATTGGAGATGAAGACCCTCCTACCAGCATTTCTGTCACTAAACAAGTCTCCAGGTGAGAAGACGAAGTACGTTGACCTTGGTTGCGGGACGGGTAGAAACACACTCCCCCTTGCGCAGCATGCGCCAGAGGCAATGATTGTTGGCCTGGATCCGTCCGAGAAGATGCTTGAGCTGGCACGCAAACGCACTGCAACTGCGAGCAATGTACAGCTAGAGCTGTACGACATTCTCGGGCCTACTGGACCACCTGCAAGTGCGCTGGCAGCAGATGGAGTCATATCAACCCTAGTGGTGGAACATGTACCGATGCAGGACTTTTTCAGAGCCGTGGCAAGCATATTGAAGCCTGGTGGTGCTTTGCTGCTTACGAACATGCATTCGGAAATGGGTGGTGTTACTCAGGCCGGGTTTGTCGATCCACAGACCAAGATGAAGGTTCGTGGGACGAGCTATGCACATAGTGCAGAAGAGGTTGTTGCGGAGGCTGCGAAGTTTGGGCTGGAGCTGGTGGGGGAGATGAAGGAGGTGACGCTGGATGAGAAGCTTGCTCCTGTTCTGGGAACCCGGGCGTCGAAGTATATTGGTGTCCGGGTCTGGTTTGGTGGGTGTTTTCAGAGAAAGTGACTAGACTCGGAAAGATAGAAGTAATGATAATGTTGATGACTCGCTATAGTATACATGAGACGAAATGAGTCTCTCTCTCTATAAAATGATAAACAAAACGAAGAATATACGCTCCACCCCAACGCCGTTTCTCCCACGAATGTATTATGCATGTCTTGTCGTTCTAGAAGTATTTGTCTAAAATTCGTTGGCGGTGTTGTACAAGATTAGGGTGTTCTTCGAGGAATGATGCCAGCGGGTTGTATTTCCAGCCGAGCGTCTCGTCGAGGATTAGGTGGGTATATGAAAAAAGAGAAGCGTCAAACCAACATGGTGTGGAGCCGTGCGTGAAGTAGACGTTGTCGCCTAGTAGGTAAGAAAGCGAATTGAAGGCCTCCTTTGCTTCGGAGAGTATATCTTCTGGGTCGATGTAAGTATCTTTCCGGTGCAGCTGGTCCTTTGCTGCCTCCTTAAGCTGATATGCGAGAGTTGCGCGCACCAGCGGATTCTTTGTGGAGGGGTTCACGTATGCCTTCTTTGCGATTGACTCAAAATTGGAGCTATCCAAGTAGACGGTATAAAGCTACGACGTTTCCAGTCAGCCAAAGCTATTCTGCGTTTTTATCGCTTCTTCCTCAGGGATGATAGTAGATACCCAGGCATCACGTATATTGCGTTCTAGCAGTGACTTGTAGGTTCTTAAAACCCCACTGATCTTCGCTTCTGTATACTGATGTTTTGCATTCGTGTCTGCCCAATTCTGTAACTTGCTGGGGGCGACACAGCTCGGCTCCGAGTCGCCTTCTGGCCCAGCGGGGAGAAGGAAAGGCAGGGCTCCGTCGGGGGAAGCATGATTATTGGAAGGAATCGTACGGAATTCTATCCCGCGGAACCTGAGATATGCCTGTTCTACCTTGTCAGCAAATGCAAGTCCGGCAGCCTATCAAAGACAGCAGATTGCGGGCGCCAGAAGAAGGCGTGTTGCTGACCTGCCACATGAGACACTGCGGATTCACCGATGGTCGTCCATTCCTAGCAGCGTCCGCGCTGGTGAAAATATACAGCCGATGCTCGTCTGGCCGCCCGTTAGCGCCCACATTGGCGTCGGTGCTCGTGCTGGAGGCAGGACTGGCGGTGCTGGCAGTGCTGGAGGCAGGACTGGCGGTGCTGGCAGTGCTGGCGCTGGCGCTGTAGCTGTAGCTGCTCGCTGGCGCGGTGTTGGGGGGATAAGTCACCAGCGGGAACTGGTCGAAGAGACGTTTGACAGGCTTGGGAATCGCAGGGAGCCACGACTTGGGTCCCTCCTCCGCCGTCTTCATCGCCGGGTCCGTCTTCGCAGGCATCAATTCGTCGTCGTCGTCGTCGTCGTCGCCGTCGTCGCCTTCGTCGTCTTCGTCGTCTTTCCCTCACCGGCGTCTTCGTTTCTTCTATTATTAAAGACAAAAAGCTGTGGCCAATTTTTTAATTATAGCCTTCCATTTCGGGCCTAGCGCCGCCGCTCCTAACTTCTTTTTGACGTCGCCTTTTTTTTCTTCTTCCTCTCGATCGTTTTATTAGAAGCAAAGACGAGGACGGCGAGGTCGGCTGGCCAGCTAGCTATGCGTATGGACTATATGAGTGTATGATGTTTCTTTTACGTCGAGGGTTGACCCCGTTGGAGACCGAACCTGCTGCTCTCGTTTGCAGTGGCGCTATCATTCGCTAGTTATCACTCCCGCCGCCATCCCTGCCCGCCGTCACATATTTCTTTCCCCCCCGGTCCTGTGCCCGCGCCTCACGCAGGCATCCTGCTGGTCGACTAGCTGTTAGGGAGCAAGGAAAACGAGCAAGCGAAGGAGAGAGCGACCAGTCCAGATCGCTCTTAAACCAGCTGTCCCGCAAGTCGGCGAGAGAGAAAGGGAAAAGCAAAGGAAGAACAAGAGAGATTCTCGAACTCGCTCTCCTATCAGTCCGGCGATCTGTGGCGCTTGAGGGATCCGTTGTTCTGTTAAGAAGGCCTGCCGGCACCCGCAGCCAGCTAGAGGAAGCCTGAGGATACGAAAAGCGATCATGCCTCTGGACGAGGAGGGAGCCAAGTGGTCATGGTTAGATCCCTCTCTACTCCGTACATTCATAATAAACCGACTATTCAAACGGTTTAATAATTATATGTTATAACACACTAGCTGACCGAACATAACACTACAGCGAGCCATGCATACGCGGACACCGCTCGTCAAAATGCCAGCACTTCGACAGACTCATGATGAAAGTGCCCAAGGCAGGCCGTCCGCTCCAGAAATGCCCTCATCCAAAGGGTACCTGCAGCTGCCAGAAACTCTATGCATTCATGGTTAGAATACCAAAGGGTAAGCATATCAATAGTATCAGTCTCTCATAGATACGCTCTCACGGATATCCTCATTAACTGCAGTACTAACATGTCTTGTCAGGATCTACTTGTCTCTGCCGGCCGCTGTACAAAGTGCCCATGGCTCCTGGTGAAGCGGGGCAGCAGCAGCAGCAGCAACAACAACAACAACAGCAACAGCAACAACCAAATTTTCCCAGCCCAAAGTTTGTGGGGGCATCGACAACTGGTGTAACATCTGCACCAGTTACCCCTGCAACCCCTTCAGCCAGTGCAAACCGCATTCAGAAACGTTCCAGACGCCAGAATAGCATCCAGACCTCCGCTGATAGCGTATCTAGGGGGCTAGGTATGCTGACTTCGCCGGTTCAAGTCAAGAATGAGACCTCTACGCCGGGAAACCCTAGTGCGGATGATTCGATACCGGTAGCTAATGAAAAGTCAGACTCTGGGCCATATCAGAAGACAGAAAGCCCGGACACCTCAACTACAGTAACACATACGCCACAGAATGGAGGATGCTGTGGCTCCAAACGGTCGTCGAATACCTCCTTCTCTGTCAACGTTATGGATAACATGCAGAAAGCTCCTGGTTACAAGCTAGCTTCTTCGTCAATCGATGCCCCTTTGCAGTCTCATTCGATCCAACACAATCTACTTCACAAATCACTTTCGACTCCTACTATATCAGAATCTACCCCTTCTTCCGCTCCTTTCCTCCTCAACTCTCTAGAAAGCGAATATCCACACTATCCTCCGACCGCTCACTCAGTCCCCTCAACGTCATTTAACCCTCAATCGGCTAAAAATCGCCACTTTAATTCATTTGACCAATTCGGGCCACCTGACAGCTTACCGCCTGGACTTCATACCATTTTTGGCCCTGCTAGTTCTCAGGCTGGGTGCAAAGGCCATAATTGTGGCTGTGGAGATGGATGCCAGTGTCTTGGCTGTGCGTCTCATCCTTACAATGACACTACACGACATTATATCCAAGAAATGGGTTACATGATGGCGTCCGGATATGGTGATCAGGGGCCTGAGGGAAATGATGATGTCCACTCACCGCCATATAGTGCATGTCTTCCTCCTGAGCCTCATCCGCTAGCGGCCGTTGGACAGAACCACCTTTCCCAAGGCTACGTCCATTCTGCACAGTTCCAGCCACAACTTATGGGGTATAGTGACAACAGCAACAATAACCCTGCAATACCGGCGACAATGCCTCAACACGCTAGCGACGGCGAACTGATGATGAGTCCTGCTGCTTACTACACAGTGGAATACCCTATTAGTATGCTTGATCCTTGCACGAATCTCACTGGGACCTGCCACTGCGGCATAAATTGTGCCTGCGTTGGCTGTTTAACTCATCATGGCCATAACGGCATTTCAGCCGAATCCTCCCCGCCTCCAGACATACCACAAGTGAGTGACTCAGGCGGAAACACCCAGCAGGCTGCCTCTTTTTTCTCAATGCAGACTCAAACGCCTCCCCTCTCGCAGATGCAGATGCAAACAGACGCGCAGGCGCATCTACACCCACAAGTTTCGGCTTCGAGTGGGTATAATCCTCATTATTCAGGTCATACACCATTAGAATCTCCTCCTGCTTAAAAAATGGCCGGACACGAACATAGACCCTGCAATTCCCTTTTAATTCATGTATTTATTTTCTTGCTTTATACCCTGAGTAGATAGAGCTATGGCTATACTTTTCCCCTCTCCTCCCCTGGGTTACCGTTTAAGCAGCATTATGTGAAAATGCACCGCAGATATATATTAAACAAGGGGAGAACCGCATAGAGGAGACCTCTGTTTAATTTAAATCAACACTATATCCTCTTTTTAAGAAACACTGATAAAAATGGAAATGGGAGCAAAATGCCATATTGTACAGGCCCGCAACATTTCGATAGGATCAATTGAGCTAGCTATAAGGAGCCGCACACCGCTGTGTATATTTCAAGGTAGAGAAAGGGTCAAGTAAGGCCGGTTATAAAGAAGGGTAGATGCATATGAGGTATATTCTCTCTTTGCTGTTTCTATTTCCTGGACTCGTCACTTTAGCCGTACAGGTGTTCCTCTATGATCATCTACGATGACCTTGGAAATCGGAGATTCTGAGACCATGGCTGATCGCCTCGTCGGAAAGAAGCTGTACGAAACATAGGTCAGTAACCACTCTTCAACAGAATAAATACCAACAGCCCATCAAGGCATAGCCCATATTCAAACGGAACGGACGGGAGAATGCCTTGGAGATGCATACCATCAGCTTCTTCCCAAGCTCGACCAGCGCCGAAGCCCAACCCTACCCATGCAGGCCATGCTCGTCGCTTGAACAGCAGAATCGAAAATATAACACCAAACCCAAGACCAACGGAGGATCGAATGAGGAGGGAGGAGATTGCGCGGTCCCACTAAAAAGTCCAATTCAATGTATCGGTCAGCCATATCCTTCTTCCACGATCCAAATTCTATGGTTCTTCTTCTTTGCTTGCCATGTTGGACTATGGACCTTCCCAGGGCCCGAAGAGCGTACCTTTTCGTTAAGTAGAGTCTCGCTGACAGGTTTGCTGGCACGAGGCACAGGCACAGACTGGGTAGATTCGGTGGAATCAGCCATCTTGACAAAAACCTATGGAGGTTTTGTGAGCAAATAGAACCAATTAGTAACTAGATAGCATCCTACTTACGATGTTTTGTGTCTAGAAGAGAGTCGTTCGTTGTGTTTGTTCCTACAGTTTGATCGGACTTGCTTGATTTCGGGAAATGCGCTGGGCCCGGGCAGTGAGGTTCGGAGGCGGATGATCTTATCTCCGGATATAAAAAATTCCATGGACCTGTTCCGGCTTAAATACCTTTTGATATTAGGAAGATATGAATTCTGGAAAGAAGAACGATAGCATGCAGCCGCAATATAGAGGTGATTGAAGTAATTTAAGATGGGATCAGAGCCAGAGGTAGGCCAATTTTGTTATCTAGCTCTTTACTTTTCCTTTTTGAAATGTACTGATATTAGCTTGCCAGCTCCCCGCCTATCAAGCATTGCTTGCCCTGGAAAAGGGAACTTCGGGGTCTCCAATTGAGCTGTTGACAAAGGCTGCAAAGATTACTGGGGTTGATTTTGAGGACTACAACTTGGATCTCTTTGCCGGCGATGGCGAACTTCCATCAATCACTCCTGCCTACTCCGCACCTAAGGAAGAATGGGTTTTGCGATGGCTGCTGAAGACGCTGAAAAGCCCTACTAATATATCGAGTGAATACCGGAATAATGGCCGATCTTGGATACTATTACGCATCCTCTTTATGCGGATTCCTATTAGGAGCCTGGCGTTCACACTGAACGAAAACGATTTCCTTGGCCTCCTACGGGATTCCCTAGTGGGATTGGATTTTTCGAGCGGCCATGCAAACGATCAGGTGGAATACAACTCAAAGGCTGAGTCGCCATTGAAGCGGAAGCCAGACTCCGATTCTTCTAGGCAAATTCGGAAGCGTATGCGGACAGAGGAGCATCTCGCGAAAACACAAACCGAGGAAGAGCCTTCCCATTATGATACTTTCCTTGCAATAATCGAATCAGTTAACGCTCTTATAAAGCTTACGGAACAGATTCCCCAATCCAAAGATATACTGAAGGCTCAACTCAAGCTGGTCTTCCGTGGGAGTGCCGAGACAAGCGCTATCATCATTGGGAGGGCATGCAATTATGCCCAGTCTACTCTTAATCGCGTGAATGCTGTCGCTACTACATCTTTTCCACCCCGGCTTCATACATCTCTCGTATCGGTGTTGGAGATATGGACTCTCCGATCAGACCATCATGAGAACGGTTCAGCCGCTTCTAGCAATGTATGTTCATTATCTTCACACTTTAACATATGACATATCGGAGGTTAACATTGGCCGCAGGACATTTTTGTCTCCCATGCATTGGTTGGCGTCTTAAGGCTGATTAGAATTGCACGTCAATTTTCCAACGGCCTAGAACTTGTTAATGGCCTAGAGCGACTGGTAGCTCTCCATGCTGTTCTCAATATCCGGGAGGTTTTCTTCTCTTCAGCTGCAGCTGATACCAAAAATGAGAGTAGTTCAAAGAATGCTCAGCAGCTTAGCCATGAATTCGACACCAAATTAAGCCCTGTTCTGTCTGGTGCTGAAGCGATCATTCTCCCTACACTTTTTGACATCTCCATTCGTTCTATGCCAAGGAATAATTTTCGACGACAGATTCATGAAACACCGTGGCTTGAATCATTCCTCATTCTACTTATATCGCAGGCAGGCTATCCATTAGAGGAGGACCGGAAAATGAGGGATGTCGCTCTGCTACAAGAATTCCTGGATGTAGCCATCCATAGAAAGCTAAAGCTCTCTTTGATTACCCTCGTTCAGATTGCAAGCAAATTTTCCGGTCTCTCAGGAACTCAGAATGGAATTGAATGGAGCTTGATAGCCCGAATATTACGGCTCGATGTGGACGTGTTTCTATTGAACTCTGGCGTTGAGCAGTCTGTCACCTTGCTAAACTCGCTGCTTACTGGAATAACAGCTTTTCCTTTACAAAACGATTTTGCTTCAAAAGATCTACATGATTTAATCAAACATGAGATCGTCATTCCGCTTGTTCGGGGGTTTTTCAACGCCCGAGATGGTCCTGCTTTCATCAGACTATGGGCTGAGCAGATTGCTGAATCAGAGTCATCCCGGCATTTGATGAAAAAACAAGATTTGATCTCAATCTGGGAGAGTGATGACGTGGTCAAAGCTTGTGGGCAGTGTTTGGCATCTTCAGGTACTCAGCTTGATGCACAAGTTGGAGATCTTCTGCAAAGAATTCACCTAATAAAACTTTCCGCGGATAGTTTGCCTGGCGCATATTCCTCTCTTGTGGTCCTTGACTCTCTCCTGATTTCCCCCATAAAAAGTGGGCTCGATGCCATTTCGATTAGCCGTTACAAGCAAATATTGGAAGAGCTATCAGATATTTTCTCCCCTGACCTTACAGCAGTCTGCTGGAAATGGAGAATATGGCGGTGTTTGCAAAATTCTGTTTCTCGATACCCGGCTTGCTCGGAATCAATCCAGTTTGATATGAAGGGCTCTTTGATTCCTCTAGCTTTACGCAAGATAGAACTCTTTGCCCAGAACCCTAAGGCTTTTTCAGCTCAAGATTGTTTGGAGACATTTTGGTCTTTTAATTTCGTTCTTAGCCTTGGAAACAGAGCATCGGGTACTGATTTCAATGACTACGTTAATAAATCTACCCACGAAATGTTATCAAGTTTCGAGAATCTTTTAAACAGCAGCTTTGCTACTTGGAATGGTCAAGTGGGGGCCCTCTCGACCCCGGTTGCTGTTGTTATTGCCTGCATTACCGCCTTACTTGGTAACATCCAAAACCTGGCCTCTTTGACTTCCGACACTCGTCAACTTCTATTTACTAATCTACTCGTATCACTGGAGAATGAACCCACCTCTATTGCAAACATTCAGCTCTCACAAATCTGGAAAGATTTCTTCTGCTTTCAATCCGGTATGGAATCGACCACCATTGTGGATGACCTGGTTAAGGTAGCCTATGATAGACTCGCAAATCAAAGGAACCCGTCTAGGGTATTGGTTAGCAGTCTTTTATATATTCCCACCCGTTTAGTATCCCGCTCGCAGCGCGGTTTGATCATCGATACTTTGCAGTCCTTCTTACTAAGTAGTAAAGTTGGACTAGAGATGAAAGTGGATATTCTACTGCTTATGACCAGGCTAGTAGAGGTTGCAAGGTCATCTGCCCAAATATTCGACGATTCGGATAAAATATGGGAGATTTCACGTTCAATTGGCACAGGCGACGGCTGTGATACCCAGTTGCTATTCGATACATTCACAAAATTATATGAAGCTATCACCGTGCGGTTCGAAGCGGCACCTGAAGATTCAGTTACAAAGTTTTTGGATACTGTTTATTCGAGAACAATAGAAAGGCCACCAACCCGGAGTTATAAAACCATGGAATACTATCTCTTTACACTTTCTCTATCTCATTTGCACAAACGCGAACATCAACTCGGCGAAGAACGGTTTCAGACCATTTGCACTCTGAGGCACAAAGTGTTCGACGACCTTATTTCGGACCTGCATACCTTGACAAAATCCATGAAGAAGACATACGAGGTCACTGACACGGCCAGGTTGACTGGAATTTTGTGCGCTCTAGACAACTTCCAAGGTCTTCTGCGTGAAAGCAAAGATTCGCGGAAGAAAATACGCAAACTTGGGGAATACATGTCCAAATATAATTTGCCAATGTCTGTGAGAAAGCAATTGAAATTATTAAGCTTGGCTTCGAAGGCACCGAGTGCCGATTTTGAATCACGATTACATGACTGCATGACCTTATTTCCGTTTGGGCAGCTACATGGAAAAGACCAACGGTCCCTCGCCCGCAGGATACAAGCTCAAATATCGGAGATGGAGGAAGATGCTGCGGTGAAAATGATCCATAATACGTGTGAAGCAGATCTATCGGGCGTGGAAAATGTCTACCGACTCTTATTGCTAGGGATTTCTGTCATTAGAATAAGCCCTGTCCAAGATAGGGATTCTACCGCTTCGAATGAACTCTCAACAGCTTTCACCAAGGTTTCTACGGCATTAGCTCACAATAGTTCCATTGAGTCTTTCTGTCTAGCAGCAGAAGCCCTGGACATCATCTTACGAACACAATCTAGGTCTGTCACTCAATGGAACATAGACAATCTGTTGGCGAATATTTGCCTCGTTTTGTCCCCTTCTGGCCCGCCAATTGACGCAAAGTTCGCTGGTACTATTCATACCAGGCTCTGCAAACTACTCGGCACCTTGTTCACCCTATATCGGCAAAAACTTAGTGGCCGGTTCCACCTGGTTCTTCCAGTCATGCAAGCACTTTTAAGATGCTTATTCACGTACAACCAGAAGTCATCAAACTCATCCGGTGCAGTTTTAGCTCGTCCACCATGGGTTGAGGGCAGCCATAACATGGAACCTAGCCATGGAACACAGTTTTCCCGCCTTCTTAGTTCTCTTTGCGACCCAACTGTTTCCTCGGTGCAACGACCTGGAGGTGTGGGACATTCTAAACAAGCATTGAACGATAATACGAAGAAAGTGAAAAGTCTGGCAGGCCAATATCTGCAGTATCTTGTCATGGAATACACATCCTGCCAGTTGAAGGGACATACCCCCCCTGAAATGAAAGCAACATTGATGCCAGGGATGTATGTTATTTTGGACGTCATGTCGCAAAGTACGATGCGTGCGATGAACGCAGGGATGGATTCTTCTAGCCGTGCGGTGTTTAAAACTCTCTACGACGATTATATTCGATTTGGAAAGTGGGACCATAATTAAAAGTCTTGTATTTATTTTGCTACAGCGTTCTAGCATTGGGAGGCATTGTTGCGTTAAGCAGTTACCTTTACAGTTATTAGAATTACGGGCTGGATTGTAAAAATGTATATATTTAGCAAAAAGAATACCACCGATCATTTACGAAGACAGGTTGCAGCGTTATATGCCTAGTGTCATTATCACAAGGCTCACATTGGCAAGTATGAGTTTGGCTATGGCACAACATTTCCGGCTTGTAGTTGGATGGGCTATTGAAGCTCTTCTTCAAACTTGTCAATTAAGGAATACAGTCTCTCCTTCTCCCGAGGCCCTCCAAAGATACTATCAACACCTTTCTTACAAATGTCAAGTAATGCGGACTGGTCAAGGTTGAAATTTGCGGCTGCTAGTAGGTACTCGGTGGAGACTGGGCTACAGAAGAAGCCGACATCGTCAGTCTGCCATGTTCTCATGTCAGCAACGTTTTACATGCTAGAGCTATGTAGGTAATTCTAAACTTACGCAGAGAATAATTGGGCAGTCCCTGTGTCTCCAATAGCCAAAATGATGATCCGGGTAACCTCCTGTGATTAGCTTCGCGTGTACATTACACGATAGGCAGAGTTCAAGCCCTATCCTGCGACGAGAAATTTCTTCCCTTATATCATCCGGTACATTGATTACATGACCAAGTCTACCAGGCTGGAAGGAAAGTAGCCGGCCCACAGCTGGGCAGGCGGTAACGCCAGACCTGGGCAGGTCATATGACTAGTATACTACTAGTTACAACTATTTGGTAATGGTAGTATATAATATTATAATTAGTAATAAAGTTAGCTAGATACTATAATAAAATATACTAAATAAGTCGAAAGTTTGAAAATTTAACTTCCTCCTATAGCTAGTAAAGCTATTTATTAAGTATTGAAGCTTTTTAATTATTTTTAATTAAAATTTATTTATTTTTAATAAAAACTTAATTATCTATTTAAATATTTATATTCTATTTTTAATTTAATTTTTTTAATTCTTTTAATTTTATTTTTAAAACTTTTTTTAAATAAAAATTTAATTATTTATACTAAATTATTAAAAGAAGCTAAAAGTAATTTTTAATAATAATTTTAATAAAAGTTTAATTATCTTTACTAAACTACTAAATATTTGTTTTTTTTTTTTTCTTTATTTTAAAAAATAAAAATAGCTTTTAAATTTTAGTTTTTTAATATTAAAATAATTTAAAAAAAATATTATAATATTTCTCTAATTATTAAAGCGTTGGTGAAGACTATTATATTTTAAATAATTCAAATAATTAATTGAAATATTTAAATCTATAGATTTTTAAAAAATAGTTATAAAATAACTAATTAGTTAAAATTCTTACTTCTAATTAGTTACTAAAATAATATATATTTAGTAACTTAGTAAAGATAACTAAGCCTTTATTAAAAATATTATTAATAAAGTTTTTTAGCTTCTTTTTTAGCTTTTTTTAATATTTTAGTAAGGATGATTAAGCCCTTATTAAAAAGATAACTAAACTATTACTAAAAAAATAACTAAGCTATTATTAAAAGAACAATTAAGTATTTATTAAAAAGATAACTAAGTCTTTATTAAAAGAATAACTAAGCTTTTATTAAAAGAATAATTAAGCTTTTATTAAAAAAATAACTAAAATATTACTAAAAAAATAACTAAGCTATTATTAAGAGAATAATTAAGTACTTATTAAAAGGATAACTAAATTATTATTAAAGGAATAATTAAGTTATTATTAAAAGAATAAGTAAATACTTATTAAAAGAATAATTAAGTCTTTATTAAAAGAATAATTAAGTATCTATTAAAAGAATAATTAAGCCTTTATTAAAAGGATAACTAAGTTTTTATAAAAAAAAAGCTTTAAAAATAAGATTAAAAAAATTAGAAAATTTAATTTAAAAAAAAATATAAATACTTTAAATTCTATTTTAAAAAATTTTTAAACTATTAATTTATTATTTTAAATTTTTTACTATTAGAGAAATATTATAATATTTTTTTTTAAACTATTTTAATATTTAAAAAAATTAAAAATTAAAAATTATTTTTATTCTTTTAAATAAAAAAAAGAAGAATAAATATTTAGTAATTTAATAAAAATAATTAAACTTTTATTAAAATTATTATTAAAAATTATTTTTAGCTTCTTTTAGTAACTTAATATAAATAATTAAACTTTTATTTAAAAAAAGCTTTAAAAATAAAATTAAAAGAATTAAAAGAATTAAATTAAAAATAAAATATAAATACTTAAATATATAATTAAATTATTATTAAAAATAATTAATTTTTAATTGAAAATAATTAAAAAACTTTAATATTTAATAAATAACTTTATTAACTATAAAAGAAAATTAAATTGTTAAATTTCTAATTTATTTAATAGTTAAATATTTAGAATAATAAATTAATAGTTTAAAAATTTTTTAAAATAAAATTATAATATTTATATTTTACTTTTAATTTAATTTTTTTAATTTTTTTAATTTTATTTTTAAAAGATTTTTTAAATAATAGCTTAATTATTTTTATTAAACTACTAAAAGAAGCTAAAAAAGCTTCTTAATAATATAGTTATTTTTAATAATAGCTTAATTATTTATTTAAT